GTACTAACAAACAAATTAATGGATATATATCTCCACCTACTGGATAAAGTGCATAAAGACAGTTCCCATATTATAATCTTAGTTTTCATTCCTTGTTGCTATCTGAATCAAAAAAGTGACTTTGAAACACTAGTCTATGCCTAATTAAAAAAAAAAAAAAATTTTTACGAGCCATTCAGTTTCTCCATGCCTAATTTAATCATCATTACTAAGCAGCAACTAATGCATTGCGTAAATAATCCTTAGGTAAAAATATGATTTTAAGTGACTATTTCATTCCTTCAAGTATTTCAAGCAAATAATCAGCTCTGAGCTATTTATAAAGCATTTTCATGTAATTAACTCAGAATGCTATTCATGTAAACCCTATGAAATAGGCAGGGCACAGGAAACTGACTCAGAGAAAGTAGGTGGGTTGTACTGCTAGTCAGTGATTGGGCAGTGACTTGAATTTGGGTCTTCTGACATAAGTATAGGGCTCCAACAGCTTGTTCCCTCAGGCCAAATCAACTAGGTAGTTTCTAAAGACCATTAAAGTAAGTTGACATTTACCTAAAATCAAAATGATCTGTTTATCAACTAACATGAGAGTAAGTAAATGTCTAATTTCTTAATCAAGTTATTTCCAAATATCAAGGCTATTTCTTATTGGCTTATTCACACAGCATGCAATTATAAACTTTTTAGAGATGTGTTAATAACCTTTATTTTCTAAAAGGTTTGTTCTGAAGTTACAATAAATCTCCACACTAGTAAGTTTTCATGATTTCCTTAGATACTACTCTGAAATAAAATGAAGGCAATTATTTATAGTCTTATTATATTAGTGGAATAGGAACAATAGTAAAACATCATATTGGGACATAAAAACTATGATCAAGATCTTACTCTATATTGCAACTCCAATTTTATTAAAAACTTAGAGAAAGATTTTATAAAAACTGACTAAAAAAGATGTGTTATAGTCAACCTTTGAGCATTTACTGAGAATTACTGTGTATAGGGAAGTTTGTAAGGTGTCATGAGGATAAAATGGAAATGAAAGTCAAAGTTCCCCACTCTCAAAGAACTTATATTTATTGGCTATTACACCATAAATAAATAATGCCATAATATTACAAAGTAATATATTATTAAAGCAAATTGTATATATGAGGGTGCTTCAAAAAGTTGGAGAGAGATTGGATAAGGGGCATAAAGAATAAGTATGATTTGTAAAAATGAATATGCTAATAAAAAATAAATTTTAAAAAGTCCTTGGAAAAATAGAATTAAACGATAATATGAATATTTCCAAGAACTTTTTGAAGTACCCTTGAAAATACTAATCCCATTTTCTGAAAACAAAACCAAATGTGTGTACGTGCTCATGCACATGTGCGGGCTTAGAAAAGGGGTGAAAATAAATACACCAGTTACCCTTGAGTTGGGAGTAGATGAGGAGCAAATAGACCAATATAAGTGGGGGAAAAGATTGTTATATTATAAATAATTTAATGTGAGGTCTTCTACTTTCTGTCCATGACAGGGTAACAAGGACTGAATTTATCCTTCACCTTAAACACCTGAAAACTGGATAAAATATATGAAACAATGTTTCTTAGACACTGCTCAACAAGAATCACAGGGCAACAAGCACTGAGAGGGGAAACAAATGAGGTGAGCCCTGCCGTGTTTTAGCACTGTCTGGAGAGAGTTTCCAGGTCACCATTCAGGGAGAGAGATCCCAAACAGAGCCTGCTGGTCTCAATGAGTTGAGTAAACAGAGCTCAGAGATCGAGAGGCCAACAAGGTAGCTAGAATTTTGTAGGACAGAGTTTGGAGTAAGTACAGAGAAGGAGAGAGAGACTTCTAGTATCTGTAAAAAGTATCCCCTTAAATCTCTAACTGCATGTAAAAAAAAAATGGTCAGGAAAAGAACTATTGGAAAAAGCCAATGAAGTAATTCTCAGAGCTACACAGGTCTGGAACACCTCACATTGCCAGCAGATAGAATGGAGAAACCTCGTAATGCATGAGACACTGGGTTCAGTATTTAGAACAGTATGTGTCAGTGATGAGGAAAAATTAGAACTAAAGACTGTGCAGGTCCTGCCTAATGAAGCTTAAGAGCAATTGTTCCCAAGTAGATTAAGTGAATCTCAGAAAATATTAGCTCAAGAATATTTAAGGAAATAATAATAATGTTAAAAATTTCGCACAATGTAAAAGTTCACAAGGTCTGGCATCCAATAAAAAATTGCCAGGCATGTAAAACATGACTCAAAATATCAATCAATATAAAAAAGACCCAGATATGACACATATGATAAAATTAGTAAATAAAAATATTAAAAGAGTTATTAAATGCTCCACATGTTTCAGAGATAGAAAAAGCATAAGCATGTAAAGAAGAAACATGGAAGAAATATTAAAAAATCTAAAAATCTAATGGTGAATAATATAATATCAGAGATAATAATACGTTAATATTATGAGATTAATAGATCAGACATTGCAGAAGAACAGATTAAGACAAAACAATAGAAAATTTCCAACTAAAACATGGAGAAAAAATATTGAAAAAAAATGAATAGAGCATAGGTAAATTGTGAGACATCTTCAAGGGTCACAATATTCATGAAATTAGAATTGGAGATGGGAAATATTTGAAGAAAAAATGGCCTACAATTTTCCAAATTTGATGCAAATCATAACATACAAATCCAAGAAGCTCAAAGAGCCCCAAGCAGAGGATTCCTGAAGAAAACTACACACAAAAAAACTACACATCATTATCAAATTGCTTTAAACAAATGATAAAAAGAAAACCTTAAAAGCAGCTACAAAAAAGAAGACATATTACATATTGAGACACAATAAAATGGAGAGCATAATTCTCATCAAAAACAATGCAAACCAGAAAACAGTGAACCCATGTATTTAAAGTATTGAAAGAAGAAAGATTCTACCTGGAATTATATATCTAGTGAAATTATCTTTCAAAAATGAAGACAAAAAAAGTCTTTTTCGGAAATATAATTCAATGTTGTTAAGAATATTTATAATATAAACATGGATAATTCTTAAAATTTCAAAAATTTAACTATATTCCACAAATATAATAAGCATTATATAAATAAAATGGATGTGCTAGGAGTAAAGAGTAGTCAAGTTTGGAGGCATTAACCAGAAGATAGGTATGGAGACAGTACTGTTATTTGCTTCAATGGCAGAGGCTCACCAAGGAGGAAAAGTTCATGTGATATCAAGTAGAAGAGTGGAAGGAAAACCTTGAATAACAGCAGAATAGTTTAGATTCATATGAAACATAATAGGGAGCCCCTGGAGATTTTTTAACAGAGAGATAAGAAAAATGGCAACTTGAAGATATATTAGCAAATCATACATATGACAAAAAACTGAAAATATGTCATCAAAACCAAAATTATAGGGAAAATATCACTGAAAAAAATGTGCTTCTAATTTCATTTCTAGACAGGAAGCATCTATCTTCCTCAGGGACATTAAAGATCCTTGTGGTGGATCACGGGCCAGGAGCCTGGGTAAAAGGGATAAACATCTAGATGAGACCCACCTCTGCCTACTCTCCACACCTTATCATCTCCTCTGTCTCATTCCACCATCTTCATAATTTTTTGCTAACTAAAAGATTTCATAATTACCATTATAAGTTAAGGAAATTATTCAAGTAGGAAAAAACAGAAGTTTTCTAAGATAGAAGTTGGTGAGATGATCTTGAAATGACCTTCCAAGTCTATAATATCCTATAATTTAATGCCTTTGGCCTTTAGCTCTTTTGTCTTTTTTTCCTCACAGAGTAGAAATCTGGGAACAAATTGGTCTGTCCACCATTCAAAGGATTGATAAGAAAAGCTTTATAAAGACAAGAAATTACAAGTTCCTTTTCAGACTTTCTTAATAAAGTGTCTAAAATATTCAGGTAAAAATGCAGTGACAAAAGTCAGGAAAGTCCTTACCCTTACAATCACCAAAAGGGACCTAAAACCACTGAGAATTTTCTAACCACAGTCAGAAGGGTAAGGACAATAACTAACACTACCTAAAATAACCAAAAGAGGGCAGCGTAAAACAAAATATTTAACTTTTACGTCTCTTTTACACAGGGGACCTCCTGTGACTTTTGGCAAAGGCCCTTTTTAAAAGTGGTTTTTACAATCTCTTGGTAATCACTTTACCTTATCCTGCTCCACACCAGGTTCTCTGTACACAGTCCATTTCTGCCCATCATCACTGTACAGAATTCTATAGGCAGACACATAGTAATTGTGCTCCACCATGGTGGATCCAGTGGTTATAATGCCTGGGGAATGAAGAGTTGTTTTGATTACCTCACATGGTCTGAGCCCCAATGTCTGTTCAGCACTAAAGCATAAACACCTGAGATGCACTATTCAAACATGTCTGCCTGTGGCTCATTTACATATCTAAGTGCAAGTTTTCATCATCATAGTTACTAAATCATTGACTTTGTTCCCTTGGAGAGATAGGAAGAATTATGGGTACACATAAGGAAAGAACTGGTCAGCCCTCCATATCCCTGGGTTCCACATCTGTGGATTCAACCAACTGTGGATCCCCCCCCCCAATAAAAATTACGTATGTACTGAACATGTACTGACTTTTTTTCTTATTATTCTCTAAATAATACAGTATGATTATTTACACAGCATTTATATTGTATTAGGTATTATGGGAGGATATACATAGGTTATATGCAAATACTAAGCCATTTTATAACAAGGACTTGAACATCCGTGGAATTAGTTATATGAGGGGGGTCCTGGAACCAATCTTCCACGGATACCAAAGGATGGCTGTATTCTATTTTGGCAGCTTGTGTTCATACCATGGTAAAATATACTTCAACTACTGACTAAGGATGAATTCTTGGGAGTGAACACATTAAAGATGATTACTGGTATTATTTTCAGTACTAAAGCAAAATACATTTTTTAATAAAATTATCTAAACCAATCCCAACCAATTATTCTGACCATTTGCTAAGTTCCCCTAAACTAAATTTATACTCAGCATATGTGGAATATTAATTATTTATAGCACTTAAAATGGACTCCTTGAACATAAATTTCTCTTAAGAACTGTAAGAGATGGTTATTTCAGATATCTCAAGGAATACTACCTTAAAAGAACCATATTACAATGAAAAAGAAAAGCTATTAGGAATTAGATATCAATTCCTCTCCTCTGCCATGTTTTATAAAACTATCTCCAGTAATATTAATATCAGTGAAGAAAACTTAAAACCATATAATTAAATTTTTAGTGACCTAATTTTCTATGAAAATGTGATGTCACCAGGTTCCCAAATAAAACTGGTATTATAAATTGCTCTAGAACTTATATCTTTAAACCTGTTATCTTCTTTTCTTTATTCATATCAATTTGTAACCACTGATATTCATCAGTGGCAAAAGCAGCCCAAGGAGGTCCAGGTTTTTTCAGTCTGGCCTTTTCAGGTTTCCAACTATTCTCTTGCCCTGTGTGGTCAGTCCACTCCAGTACAGATGATGCTGTTATCTGAGGATCTGCAATCACACCAGATTCCATCCCCAGTGTTCCATAACAACCTGATACAAAGAAGGAAGTAAATTTGGTTTTCAGATATAAATTCAAAAATCTATATAAACCTACTCACCTTTAATTAACATTCACTATGCTAATAACACACTGCAACAGAAAAACTTCAAAACTAGCAAAGTGTTTCTTGGACATATGTCTTTGTGTATCATTAGGAAATTTACAAACACATTCATTCACAAGCAACATATTAATGGATACATATTACCCTCTCCCTGGGACATTCCCTCCAAATAAGTGGGTGACTCCCTCCTACCACCTTCGGGTTTTTGTTCACATGTCACATTCTCGATGAGGCCTTCCCTGACCCTCCTTAAAACTTCAAACTAGTCCTCCTGTACTTCCTGTCTTCCTTCCGTCCCTTATTTTTCTATGTCTTTTATACCAATAATGTAAACTGTACATTACAAACAACAATTTATCTTACTCATTGCATATTGTCAATCTCTCACTATCAAAATGTAAGCTCCAGGAAGGCAGGAATTTATTTTGCTCACTGTTGTTATCAATAGCACCAGATAGTGTGCTTTACAAATAAAACATTCAAATATTTTCTGTTAAATGAATTAATAACTTGGGTGAAAAAGCAATTCTCCTTGTTTACGTGATGATTTCCCTATTAATATAAAACCTCCCATTTATTCTATTCATTATATTATTGGGTATCTACCTTATCTCATGGTGTTATTATGACAACTAACTGAGAAAATGCAAAAAAGCAGCAATTGGCATAATGCCTGATATACTCAGTGTTCAAAAAATATTAGCTATTATACAAATTATAATAAGTTATAAAGTCCATGAAAGGCTTACCACTTGTCTTAAATGTAAAGAGACTTGTAGATAAGTGTCCCCTGAAAGAAAGAAAGATTTTTTTGTGACAGTCAAATAACAAATGATTTCCCCATATTCATCTTAGTGAAATATTTTCTTTTGATTTGTCCCCCTGGCCTCCTCTACTGTTTAAAGAACCGAGAAGATTCCATGCCTCAAAGT